GTTAAACACCAGCTGTGTTCTTTTTTTGCACAAATTATAATTAAAATAAAAATTTAAAACAAAAAATAAAAACGATAAAAATTAAAAAAGAAAATAAAAATATAAAAAAAATATAAATATCAAAAACAAAACAAACATCTCAAAAACAGCTCATTTGCGGACCCACGTTTATTAAGATTTTTTAACTTGTTTTGGGGCATATTAAATCCTCTTAAAATATTTTACCCTTTTTTTGAACACCCTGTATAATAATTATCAACTTAATATTCTCAGAACATGATGGGACTATATTTACGCGCGCGACCACATATAAAATATTTTTGTCTTCTTACATCGGACTAATTTTGCGCTATGCAACGATGCTTAAAAGGCGAGGCGTAAAACGCCGCTTATCTACCGCTCGCGCGAGCAGATATGCTGTGTTCTCTCGTGCTGACAAGCGTGTTTGATTGCGGCGCAGATAGTGAGTCGCGGATTTCGCGAACGGCGCGACGGCAAAATACATAAGTGTATGCGCGCTTTCGCAAATACGAAGATTTTCCACCGTGCACCGTCCGCGGTGGACGAATATACATAAAAGCTGAGCGGCTTGCCATTGGCCGTGCCATTAACACCTATCCGCGAGTTCCGAAGGATCCATAAATTAAAACGTCGTCGCGGTACACAAACGTGCTAACGAAGTCGCGAGAGGGATGAATGGTGTTAACATTCTTGCTTTTATTGCCCGCCGCAGTCGATCAACGCGTTAAACACACCGGAAAACGATTTTACGATTCACACTGATGTTAAATATATGTTGCGGAAAAGGTTTGATAATTTAGTATCAACGCGGTCCAACAAGATTCATCGATTGAGCTTTAAAAGTGAATTCTTTGATACGTATTTTTGCATACATGGAAATATTTAATAATGAATAGAGAAAAGCCAATTGGAGCCCGGACGCGGTACTTAAAGTGTAAACAGTGTTATATTTCTTTAGATAGATATTAAAGATGTATTATAAATTAATTCAAACGTTTCGGCCCGCCTTGGTCCCTTCTCAATGATAATAAGATGGAAATTTAAAAAAAATGCAAGTAAATAGCAAAACAACATGAGGCGGAGCAATACGATGATATATATAAATAGAAAACGCAACGCAACAAAATTATAAATTGTATCCCAATGCGCTTACAATAATATACATATAATGTCAGATAGAACAAAAATGATAACATAATTAAGATCTTCACAATAATCAAACTCACCATGCAAAATTTAGATTCTCCTTCCAAACGATATACAAAACTTGATTATTACAAAACAAATGAAGTCGTCAACGCAAATACATATCAGTCGTTCAAATTGTCCGTTGGTAAAAGTCATAAAAGTAACAAAATAAAAAAATAAAAACGGAGGGCTGAGAGTCCAGTGCGAGCACAAAAGTCTCAGGTACTACAGGAGTGATGAAAATTAATAAATCGATATGCCTGTAAAATGTATAACAAAAATGATGTCTATGTCGGAAAAAAAACATAAGTGTAAAATAAAAACATAAGTGTAAAAGGAAATACAAAAGAGTAGAAGTGTTAACAGTGCTGAATAAAATAATAGTTCAATTAATAAAAGTAACTTGAATTTAAAACATCGAAATAATACATGAGAAAGATAAACGAATAAATGATATGACAACTAATCTGTAGGATGTCTCGATAGTGAATAAGCAAAACAACATAAAAAAATAGACCAGGATTGAATGGGAAACACAAGAGATATAAATACAAGTCAAATTAAACAAATGAAATTAAAAACAAAGAAAAAGTGAAACTTAAAAACAAAAACATGAAGAAAACAAGGGAATCGAATTAAGAATATTTATTGATAATCGGAAAATAAGAGTTGTCAAACAGACTCGTGTCATCTTGTAAATTGATGCCGTTTTTCTTGTTTGTTTAATATGTAGCATTTCCGATATGCATCTCTTGACATAAGAAGGTTCTTCATCTAATACGTAAATCCCAATCAAAATCCTGCCCTGCGAAACGATGGTCGGTAATTACATTCTTTTTAATTTTATTGCTTTATGGAAATATTTTTATATCAACATTTTAATCGCGCAAAGTGTAACTTATTATTTCTTTATTAATCGAGTTGTTTTAATTTTGTTATAATAAAGTTGTTTATCGTTAAAGATAAATTTCAAGTGGACTTTCCTTTGACAGAATTTTAATAATCGCGAACTAATAAGCAATTTACGTGCTATTGTCGTGAGAGATTCCGAGATATATTAAAAAGAAATTATATGAGCACAAGGAAACGCAATCACGGCCGCAGTGTCGTTAATTTTTAGCACAAGAATGTCCTCTGGAATTTTATTCATTTCTCCTGCCCATTTCGACTCCATTGGAGGACTTCTCCATCCCTAAACGAACAAAGCACGTAAATTCATCGGCTATAAATTTACCAGCGGTCACGTCGCGTCGCAGTCCTCGCGAATCAGCTCGCCAAAGTTTCGCGAAATAAATTGTGATTCCACGCGGATTTAAATTTATGATTATGACACTCTATTATCTTTTAGCTTTCAATTCATTCTTGCTTCGTTATAACTTTTTGCATAGAGAAAAATGTGAACGTTTGGTTTTAATGCTTCAATAGTAAACACATCATATCGAAAAAGAGATCGCGACTTATGATCGTAGAAATTACAGATAATCTAGAAAAGTTCAGTCTAATTACGCGGTAAGATGTAAATTGAGAACGGTAATCTTTGAGATGGTTATCGAAAGTAACCTCGAAAATGTACACGAGAGTGAAGAGGAAAGAAGAAAGAACTTCGTGTTAATGGTGCACTATCCTGGGAATCTCCCGCAGTCGCCCTCCATTGGAGTTCTGCTTGATTTTGCCGCAGTTTTTATGTCCGACCCAGCTTCGACCGCTACAATACATTTTCTTCCCTTTAAAGTAATGTAAGTAAGTTTGTTCTTCTCCTCTTTCTCTCTCTCTCTATCTCTATCTCTATCTCTCTCCTTCTTTCTTTCTCTCTTTTCCTTTATCTCTTTAAAAGCGGTGCATTTTAAATCGTGTCGGGAATTGGTCACGATTTCCGAATATCGATGAAACGAGATTACACGAAAGTCTAAAATCGAGCAGATTTCTCCGAAATTATCATAATAAATTTGCAATTAAGCGATATAATTTTTTAAATGATCTCATAATTTTTTAAAAAGGTTAAACTATTTAGTCTTAAATTATTTTCTAACGATGTTTGACAATATTCAAGTTTGATGTTTTATTTTTTTCTTCATTTCACATAATTCAATATTACGATAATTTTGAAGAAATCTGTTCGATTTTAGGTTTCTATTCGTCATTTGTTTAATTTCTTTTCTCGTTTCATAATATAATAAGCGATTTGGCATTTGCCTAGTGATCCTGCAAACATTCGAGAAGATTTCACAGTCGTACTGAAATACCCCAGAACGATTTGATACGTCCGACTGTTCGGAAAGCTCTCACATACTTCAATGAATAAATTCAACTTTGATGTTGCAATCAATACGCACCCGACTTCGTAATTAAAATCGAATTTTCAGGACAAATTGAGGAGAATCGATCGATCTCGTCAGTCACCGAGTGTTTCACCAGAAATTCTGTTCAGTTATTGTCACACAAACCGGATTCTGGGACGTTTTAAAAGTAGTTGCCGATTCTTTTCCTTTCACGCGATACATGCTTACTGGTACCTACCACCATAGTTATTTTTGCACAAGCGATTACGAATCGCAAGGACAAGGTCGTATATTGCATTACGAGTAGTTCTCGATTCTGAGAGATTAATACTCGGTCGGCAAATTCCGAGTCACTGATGTGACCCATGTCTTAGGAATGTTTTATAAAACTGATCCAGTAATGAAAACAAATATTTCATATATGCGTTGGTTGTACAGAAATACCAATAATTTTTATTTAAATTTTTTTTTAATTGACATAAAAAGTATTTTTCTTAAAATGAAATTTTTTTTAGGATGATATATACATATACATATACATATACATATACATATATATATAATTACAATCTATTGTAAAATTTTATTCTGCAATATACATCTAAAAAAAAATTTTTTGCTACGGGTCAAAACTAACCCAAGTCCACTGTGTGTGCAGCTGTTATATCGTTTACTTTGTGCGAGGATTAACACTTTCTCGATATTCATTACCGCTATATACACAAATAACTTTTCCGCGTTGACTCGACTTTTCATAAAAAGCATTTTAAGAGAAAAATTTTCTTACTATCGCAGAAATATAATCTTTTCAGTATGAATCTCAATGAATTCAAATTTTAAAGTTGATTCGTATTAATACGACCCGATACGTCATGACAAAATGTTCTATAATATTGGATGTATGAATTCAAATTAAATCTGCAATATGTGAAAAAAAAAACAGGAAACGACACGGTATTACGAAGATTTTAATAGTATATATATATGTTAGGAAATGTTAATCTCTCGAGTAATTTATATACTTTTCTAAAATTTAAATTTAAAAACAGAATTCAACCATCAAAAAAAGATAATCAAATTATTTAAAACGCTATTATATACTATATTTGTCTATTATATTACTGTATTTCAACTGTCGTAAACAAAATTGTACTGTTCGTATCATCAAACAATCACAGGAAACGGCACGCAACAGCCAACTAAATATATTTTTGTTTCTCGTTTATAACTTGCATTTGGCGCTAAATATGGCCATTAATTCCCAGGCAACAATTGTAATAGGAATAGCGATCTTTACACATTGGATAAAAGAGTTCTGCTTTTTTTATTTCTACTGCATTTTATCTCTTTTTCTCTCTGAAGTGTGAATATATATATATCTACATAAATATGTGTATAAGATAGCTAAACGAATAATCTTAAGAGATCCAAATGTTATTTTGCGCAAAGAGAAGGATATGAATACCATCTATTGTCCTGTACCGAGTATGATAAGCGTAGAGTCTAACTCACATGAAATTGCTTCCTTCGGAATGTCGCTGAGCGGGAACCCTTGCGCCTCAAAAATCGGCCTGACGTTGTCGCACTTGAGACCGGCGGCATTTACCGTCGTTGTGACGGCGATAATCGCCGTAACAATCCACAGTATCATGGCACTCATTTTTGTAATTGGCTCCCTCGTACAGGAACGAATGGGGGCAAAGGGAAGAGAAACGAAATACCGCAAAGAAAGACAAAACACACGTACGACCAGATCTCGACACAATTCACAAAGTACTTTCGTTAACAGCCACAAGACAAACACGGCTATGTTCACGTTTGTACATTCGTACTGATGACTGTATCGGCGCGACGACCCGGTATTACGCTCACGAATTGACGTATTAACGACAACGATCGCGGAAGCCTTGTCCAATCAAACTGGGAGTAACACCACCTTCTCCGTCGTGGTACGATACGCACTGGCAACTGGCGCTGACTGAAGCGGGCAATGAAATGTGCGCCGCCGGCCGCCGGGAGCAGATAGCCGGGACGCCACGCGGCGGCGCGCCGGACGGTAACAGGTTTGAAATCAGTGTCGCCAACACAACTCATGCGCCCCCTCTCGTCTCAAACGAGTAACACAAGAATACCATAGGATAGATGTCCCTATTACTGCCACCTTAGGCTGTGTTCCGATTTCCCACCCGGGTGCACCCGATATTATAGTATACGTGACATTTACTATAATATCGGGTGCACTCGGGTGGGGAATCGGAACACAGCAAAGGAGATCCTAAACTGACGGGCGAACTCCGATGGGTTAGCGCCCTCATCTAAACGTAACTAAAAGGGTCGATAATACCGAAATTTTTAGTTCCGCCATTACCAACATAATTAGTTAAAACATGCATAATAGAAAACGCAATCTTTTGCATTGTGTTCCATATATTGAAATAAGACAATATCATAATATATTTTTACCGCTTTATATACAATAATTAATTGATAAATTACCAAACTTTAATTCATGTGTGAGAGAATATAATATACGCACATGTACGCACTAACATTATCGCAATTTCTAATATCTTCTTTCTCTCGATCATACGCTTACTCTGTTCTCTCTGTATCTCTCTTTCTAATCGCTCGCTTACTACGTACTGCATATCGCTTAGCTTTATTCTTCTAGCATATTCGCTTACGCGTTTACTCGCGCTTCTCTCTCTCTCTCTCCTTTTCATTCATTATTCTTTCATTATCATTATTATATTTTTGTATTTGTTATTCATTCATTATTCTTTCATTGTCATTATTATATTTTTGTATTTGTTCAACATTTATTCTTCTATTTTATTCTTATCTCTCTACACGTAAATAAATAAATTTATTTATTTTTATTTTATATAGCATAAATGAGATATACAATACAAGTTATTTTCTTTTTTTATTTCACTACATATATAGTTAATACAATACATAATTATGTTTCATTATAGTAAAATACAATACATGCACATACAAAAATACACATGCACACGCACACATACATAATACTTTTTTTATTTATA